GGCTCCCTGCTCGGCAGGGAGTCTGCTTCTCCCTCTGACCCTCCCCCCGTCATGCTCTCTCTCTCTCATTCTCTCTCTCTCAAATAAATAAATAAAAATCTTTAAAAAAATAAAAAAACAAACAAAAAAATAAAGTCTATATCGTTTCGGAAAGTATGAAAAGGTCTTTAGAAAATCCTGAATGGTTGGGTGGTACCTCCTTCCTGGTCTGTGAGGCCCCAAGAAAACTCTTCAAGAAGTTCATATTGTCCCCAAATGATGACCTGAAAGAGGGGCCCTGGGAAGACACAGGCCTCCAGGACCCCCGAAAACACCTTGCAGCCTGTCTCTCCTTTCCCACCCGTAAGCTCACCTGAGTTGGCAGAGTCTGCACTGAACTCCACGTGGAGCCCGTCCTGCTGTGCTGCCTTGGTCTGCTCCTCCAGAACCTGGTCTATGACATCCAGTCCAGAAGCCAAGTCATGCGGAGTCAGGTCAAAGGACGCCGTCTCCTCGCACATCTTCTCCTGGGAGCCCAAGCACACCAGGCTACAGCCAAACGGGGGCAAGGACTTGGGGATCCAGGAAGCCGAGGTGGGGGTAGGGGTGCAGGGTACAGGAAGCCCCATCCCATGGTCTCTAAGGCCAGGTCACAAACTGGTCCAGAGACAGCCAAACAACCACACCAATGTTCGAAATTTCATAACTGGAAAATTTTCCATTAGAATATAGATTTCTGGAGGTGCCCAGCTAGCTCAGTCAGAAAAGCATGCGACTCTTGATCTCAGGGTCGTCAGTCCGAGCCCTAAGTTGGGTATAAGATTACTAAAAAAAATAAACTTTTAATAGATTCCTGGCTTTTCTCAAAAGTCCGATCTGGCCCACTGGACCTATCGTCCCCCATGGCAACAAGTGCCTGGGACCCAGTGGGAGCTGGAGGGTGGCTGCTGCTGACCCAGGACACTAGGCTCCAGAGCACCCAAGGGGCCTTCCTGCCCTGCCCTGCTCAAGGCCAGCCATTCCTGGAAACACAGCGCCCTGAGCAGAGGCCATAGCAATGGTGAGGCAGGGCCGAGGTGATAGGGAGGGGCTGGCTGTGGTCACTAGGGGGCAAGCATCAGGTCAGGCGGCCACCAAGGGACAAAGAGAACGAGACCGAGGGGGGCTGTGAGGGTTTTGGGTGGAAACGGGGAACAGGGCCAGCCAGTGTAGCTTACCCAGGGCTTGGACAGAAAGGTCTGCACTGCTCTCTGCAGGGGCGCAGGGGAGGGGAGGCGTGGCGGAAAGGCCACCTGGACACTCACCACGTTGTGAGCTTCGTCGAAAATCACAACTGTCCCCTTCAGGTCAATGCCGTGTGCCCGGCGACTCTGCAGCAAGAGGGGAAGGATGCAGGGCTGGAGCCAAGAGGCAGGCAGGGGAAGCCCCCCCAGTGCCATGGCCACCTGGCTCTACGCACCGACCACCGAGCTGGACGTCAGATGCCCCTTCCGGCGACGCTCACACAGCCCAAGGGAGCAGGTGTGTGACCCCACACCATGCATACCACACAGCCATGGGATGCAGGAGGCCCAAAGCAGGGCTCGGCCTAGGGTTGACTTGGGGAGGGCTATTTCTAGTATTTCTTTGCTTCAACTGCATTTGAGGTTCAGTTTTCATAAAATAAAGTGCCCATTTTAACGGGCAGTTGGGTCTTGACAGATGTGAGCTCTGTGTCGCCAGCTCCCAGAAAAGGAGACAAGACCTGCTCCCCTCCCCCCCCGTGACCTCTGACCTGCTCCTAGTGAGGTCTAGGCTGTCCTGGAAACTGAGCTGGGCAGCCCGGCTCGTCTGTCCCGCCGGCGGGCAGCGCGTTCCGAGACCCACAGGCGTCACTGGCGCGCGGCTGCAGCTCACCCTCTTCAGGGCTCGTGGCGCCGTTTCAGGGACAGCCACCCGCCCGCCCACAGCCGGCAAGGCTCCGGACCCAGCTCCTTCACTCGGGCAGGCTTCCAGAGAGGCGCACCGCCCCACACGTCACCAGCAGAGGCTGAGCCGCACCCTCAGCAGACGCTGGTCCCCGGAATCCTTTACTTCCGGACACGCTGGTGGGAACGCAGCGTCACCGCCTGTGCTTTTAGCCTGCGTTTTCTCCAGACTAGAGGTGCTGCATGCCCTCCACGCACGGGCTGACCTGGCCACCCCAGCTACCTTGCTCTGGGACGGCCGGTCGAGTTACGAAGACGCCGCACGGACTCAGGCACAGGCCTTTGAAAGACGAATGTACCACGAAAACTCTCTCCCTTTGTGACTTGCGGTCATTTTCTTCATTTTCCACTCTTTTTAAGAGTCGAATCACGTGAAATCACGGTGAAGTCACGGTGAACTCCGACATACTGGTTTTTCTCTGTGGCTGGTGCGTGGTGTGTCTGAGCTAGGAAAGCTCGGCCTGCCCTCCCTGCTCTGTCCTGGGGGAGCTTTATGTCTCCAGCTTTTACATTCCGGGTTATGCCATGTGAAGTAACAGCTGAGATTCGTTCTCTTCCAAATAGATATCCAACGACTCCAGCACCAGTTTTTAGGGAAAAAAGCCCCAAACCTTTCCTTTTCCCGCTGAAATACCTAGGCACGTTTGTTGAAAACCAACTGCCACACGTGTGGGTGGGTCTTGGCCGCACTCTCGTGCGACCCCGGCCAGCAGCTCGGTCTGCGCTCTGCAGCCAGTCCTGGAGCCCTCCCACTCTGTCCTCCATCAAAACTGCCTCGCCCCCTTCCACCTTTTGCATCTCCAGGTCAGTTTTAGAATCGCCTTATCAGGGACAACATACCTGTTCTGGGGTGGGGCCCAGGCCCGGGCAGCCGGGTTGAGAGATCACGTACAACCACTCCACAAACCCCCACTCTCTGTGCCAGAGTCTGCCCGCCTCAGAGCCACCCTTGCCTGCTCCGGCCACTCGCTCGCTCCGTGGCCCCGTGGCCCTGAGGCCCCGTGGCCCTGAAGGCTGTCGCTCCTCAGAGACTTCCCTGCCCCATGGCACCGACTCCCCCCTCCGCGCTCCTTTCCCCTCGCCGCTGAACTCTGCCGACGCATGCGCTTGCTCCTAACTGCCCAGCCACGGTAGTGCTGAATGGATGAACGACCTGGACGGCGGGTCGTCCACTGTTACCGTGACGTGAAGGACAAGTCGCTGCACATGTGGGGTGTGCAAAGACAGGTGTACACATGCATCCCAAGACACGACTGTGAGGGAGGGCAGGCGCACACTCTTGGGGCTGCCTCACAATGCCCAGCTGGGAAGAGAGGAGCTGAGCCGCCAGACAAGGCCAGAGGCTGGCCCTGGACACAGCCATGGGGTCTCCTCAGTCCACGAGCCCACCCGCTCCCAGAGAGCTCAGAACGACAAGACCCACGGCCCCACGCTGGCCACAACTGTGCCCAGACCAGTGAGGGAGGCCGAGTCCTCACACCATGCGTGCTGCTCTGAGGGTCTAATCTCAGGAACTGAACGACAAAGGCTCTGACTGCCCCTTACAAACCCAGAGACGCCCCTTGATACCAGCAATCATCAGCTCCGTGGGCTGAGACCTCACCTTGGCGTCCAACAAGTAGTTGTAAGGCATGAAGATGATGTCAGCCTGCTGCTTCAGGTTCCGAGAAAGGTAGTAGGGGCATAGTCTGTGGAGAGGAGGCACTCATCAGAGCCAGGAGGGAGGCCCAGGCCCCCGGCGGGGCTCCGCTGGCTGAGGCCCTGGGGCCAGGCGGGACACCAGGCCCTCTGACGGGCAAGCAAGAGGAAGCAGCCTTGCGCTGCATGGGGGCTCAGACGGGAGCCGGGGCCTGGGGACCAGGGGAGGGCTCGCTGCATTACGGTTCACGCCCCCACTTTTCAACCATGGGAGTAGATCACCTATTTAAAAATCTACATAAACAAAAAACCCCAGTCCTATTCCTGGGTAGAGGAATGCGGCAATCAGAAAGAAAATGCTCAGTCCTGTCTTGGCCCAACTCGAAGCCCTGAAGCCGTGAGAGGTCGACACAAAGGTCAGAAAAGCGTGTTCTGTGGAAACCAGCCAAGTGGAGAAGGTCAGCACTATGCCCGCTGGCTGCTGGAAGCCAAAGCAAGTCCGTCAGGAGGCCAGGGCTGCCCGTCAGCAGAGTGGTCACCTTGGGAGGCAGGGGAGGCTTCCCTGCTTCCCCCGTATTCAAAACCACTTCTGTTTTCACACCAAACAGCCGTTAGTTTTACGATTAGTCAAGGTAGCAAAGCAAAGGAAGTGGGGTGCCTGGCTTCATCGTGGCAGAAGCTGTCCTAGAAGGACACGGCCGGCTCCTGCCTGGCCGCAGGGTCTTACCCGTGCTTATTCCCACTTCTGACCAGGTCCTCGATGTCCAGGATCGGGGTAGCCAGCTCCTGCTGCAGGCTCTTCTCTGGGGATAATGAGGCCCAATGAGTCCCCGCAGACCCCTAGAGGGATGCCCAGGCAGTGACTCTCCCTCCGGGCAGGACTAGGGCACCCAACCACCTGGGGACTCACCAGACAGAATTCCTGCCCTTTGAGTCTGAGTGACCTTGGAAGGACCCCAAACCTGAACTAATCCTCAGGGAGCCCTGCTCTATACCTCAGGAGGTGCCTGCTGGCCTGAGACTGAGCATTAACAGGACTGGAGCGGGGTGCGCAGCCCCTCAGCACGTCTCTACCATCCCAGGTGTCCTCAAGGCCGTGCCCTGGAAGCATCTGTCCTACAATTAGGCTTCAGTCTGGCAGCAAGTGGCTTTTTCTCTTCACTTCCCCCCAGATGTCAACGGTGCAGGAGCACAGATCTGAGGCAGGGCACATGGGAGAGGTGGGGGGCCCCGAGGCAGAACCCACCTGATGCCTGACAGACCCAGGGCCCCTGCCTCATGATGGCAGCCCCCGAGAAGCACCACTCCCTGCTAGCTGCCCAGGTGGCCCAGGGCAGAAAGGTGCTCAAGAAGAGGCACAGGCCCTCCTAGGGCCCCGGGAACCCCCTGAAGAGCTGCTTTAAACCCAGCCACTCAGGAGCCCACGCCGAGGCTGGCAGGACCAGGGCTCTCCTCGAACACACACCCTACAGCCCCAGGGCAGCCTCCTGTGGAAACAGGCTCTTGGCTCCGGCCCCACGGTGGCAGGTACCAGGCCCAGGCCTTCACTGCAGAGCCCAGAACACACCTTGGCCGTGACTGAACCCAGAATGCCCCCAGGGACCGCAGGGAGAGAAGAGGAACTGTGAGCTCAGCAGTACCATAGCAGCCGATCCACAGTGGGCAGGCAGCCTGGAGCTCAGCAACCTTCCTGGAGGGGCGGGGGCAACAGGAAGGGGCAGCGGAGGCTGGAGGGGGGTGGGGACCCCAGTGTGGAGATGCTGCAAGTAGTGTGCACATAGAGGCCAGGCAGAACTCTGGCTCTGCACCTCCCTCCTTCCTCCCACACATGCCTCTCCTCCTCTTGGACCCCTTCTGGGGTCCCTGCTCACTCTCCCCAAGGGCTGGGCAGCTGCTGCCGAGGCCCCCACACAGCCATGGCACGGGGGCAGAGGAGGCTAAGACACAACAAAGATGCGCAGCGCACCTCTGACAGGACATGGGGCGAGAGCCAGAGCAAAGCAGGGAGGCTGGGGACAGGGGAAGACCGATGAGGCCTGGAGCCAGCAGGACAGCCGCAGCAGCACCCTCCCTTTGCCACACGGGGCCTGGGGCAGTTGGGGGGGTTCTGCAGCACCGGGGGCCAGCACACACCTGCTCCAGCATCACCTCCACTGTGGGCTGAGAGTGCCCCTCAGCTCCCACTCCTCCTCTGGAATCCCGGCTCCTCCCTGGCCCATCACCCACCAGGTAAGGTAAGAGATGCTGCAGGTGAGTGCGGTGCAGGTGAGGGTGCAGGTGAGGGCTGTGCAGGTGTGGGTGCAGGTGAGGGACAGTGCAAGTGAACAGCAGTGCAGGTAAGGGCTGGAAAGTAGAGAGCTGAAACACAAACAGCTGTGGAAAAGTGGCTGGAGCAGTTCCTACCAGGTGTTGCTCAAAGGCTCTGGTATGGGGTGAACAGGACACCTGCAACCCACCCCTCTGCCAGGAATGTAGACAGAGGCAGCCACAATGGGGTAAAAAAGAGAGGACTGCATTGAGCATCACGGGTGTGACCCCAAGACCCATACAAAAGCAGGACTGAGGTGGGATGGCTGTGAGCAGGTAGACAAAGCAAAGGGGGAAAAACGCCTCAGAGCCACCCCGAGACCCACAGGCCTAACACAGAGCAAGCAGAGCAAGTCAGTCAGCAGTCTCCGGACCAGAGCAAGAGCCAACACCAGGCCACGGGGCTGGCAGCTGCCCTCGTGCAGGGCCACTGCGGGCCAGGCTGGTGCCCAATGCTTCCCATGTACCCTTTACTGCTGTTCTGAGGGTTCTCGGTGCCACCAGACCAAACCACACAGCCAACAAGAAGGTGGTGAGGAGTGAGCTCCAGGGACAGGGCACAGGGAGGCCTATTACTGGGAGGTGAGGGAGCCCCAGCTCAAGCCTCTGAGAGCAAGCACTGCCCTGGCATGCCGGGCACCCCAAACCCCAGCACTAGTGTCCTGTGAGTGCCCCAGGGCCTCTGTCACTCCTGTGCCAGGATCTGTGTCCCAACCCTGAGGCAAGAAAGAGGGAACCCCGACCCCACTGAAGCGCAACTCCCCCAAGCCACAGAGCCGTAGCTGCGATAGGAAACTAGAGACCACAGCCCAGAGAAGCGCCCCTGCCATTGCTTCTGGCTCCAGGAGTCCTTGACAGATGTGAGGGGCAGCCGCATGGTGGAAAAGCAAAGACCTGACAGATCTGGAGGCAAGGGCACCAGGGCCAGCCCTCCACTCTGGGCCTAAGGAAAGTAAGCAGCAAGAATCAAGGGCCATGGGCACCTATGGTCACACACATCAAGCCACACTAGGGCCAGCTGTTGTCATGACCCTGGGCTGGTCACTTCAGCCACCTCTGGGAGAGGTTGTCCTCCCCACAGCACCAAAGGCTGGCGCACTCCCCGGACTCAGGGAGAGCCACACCCACGCTGTGCCCTATCGCAGCCCAAGGACACACAGCAAAATCAGTAAAAGGAAAAGCCCGCGGAGGAGTCTGGGAGACCAGGCACGGCTTCCAGAACCCCTCCCCAGGCTAACTGCCCCAGAACGAGCTGAGGCCACATGAGAAATGGTGTCTCCCGGGAAGCTCGCCAGAGGCCCAGCGCCCAGGGCTTCTGCTGCGGGCCAGTCACGTAAGCACCCCTGGCTGGCGAGCGCCCGAATTCCAGACTCCCAGGGGGAAGGAGCTGCTCGGCATCAACCACGTTGTTTGCACAAACAGTTTAGGCCCAGGGAGCCCCTCCTCTCAGGGAACAGTGAATCCCTGAAATCCAAGCTCCCAGACAGTGGCGAAGCCAGCCTGGGTCCTTCTGAGAGAGCAGCCTTTCCTGCCTGGCATATGAGCCTTTCTGCACACAATCCAGTACAGGTCCACAGTCAGGAGACGGTACCCAACACCACCTCACCTCACCACCTCACCTAGCTGAACCGATGGGGCCACTCTGGAGCCCCAAAGGGGAGAGCCAGCAGGCCACGAGGCCTAAGAGGCAGCACATGCTCCAAGCCCACCTGGCTGTATGCTGACCAACTGGCAGGAGTGGCTTCCACGGATCCTCTCTTACCTTCTACATTGTTGTAGAAACGACAGGAACGACTTGCTACCTTCTTTCGGCACAAATGAATCTGGGAGAAAAAGAAGCAGCCCCAGCTTGCACAATGGTCACGAAAGGGCAGAGCACTGAGCCGGCCAGTGGACACGCTGCAGATGGTGCTGCCCAGCATGGGGAGACTGAGTCCTGTTCCAGCCCTGCCCCCACCAGCTCTTCGCTGGGCCGTCCCCTGGGGGTAGAGGCAAGAGCTCTGACAGAACCACAGAAGATGGGGCACGTGCCCTAGAAACCCACCTGCATGTGGTTACTCTCCTGCTTCTTCACCTCGGGGTGAATACACAGCTGTTCCCGGGAGCCCAGCACACATACCCTAGGCCTGGCAGAAGAGAGAACCATGGGGTCCAAGAACCAGAGAGCAATAGCCCCAGTGCCATCCAGCAGCATAAGTATGGGCTGTGTGGAGCCCACGGGGAGCACCGGGAGACATGGCTCACATGTGCACCAGGTAGCCAGAGGGAGTGGCCATGGCCAGAATGGGCCCTGGGCTTGGGAGGCGCTTTCTCTACTGCATGGCCCAGCGTGAATAAGGAGAGGAGGCAGGGGAAACAGGCAGATGGGAGGAGACCCCGCTAACTCCATGCCCCCTACATCGCCTTCCAGGAGCTCAGGGTGCTAAGCCGAGGTTGGCACATCAACTGGGAGCTGCTTTCTGAGAAGCAGTGGGCAGCAGAAACAGCCTGGCCTCACCGCAGTCCTGCACACTGGAGCAGACAGTGTGGGTCTCTGGGATCCAGAGCGGGGTCCGGGCAGAACACTACCATCAACCACCTTGCCAAGGCCAAACCCCCTTAACTCAGAGGCAGGGCTGAGCAGCGCCTGACCTACCGATAGGAGGTGTTCCGAAGCTCGCTGATGACCTGAGTGAGCTGTGAGTGGGTCCTGGAGGCATAAATGATCTTCGGGATGTCCATGTAGCAAGCTGCCCAGGCACAAGGAAGCAGAACAGGTCATAGCTCCAGGAGACGATGTTCTGGTATGCTGAGCCTCACCAGCCCACTCCATCCCTCCGCTACCTCTCTGTGGAGACCCCAGAGGGGCGGAAAGGGGCCTCACCGGTGGTGTCTCCATCTGAAGCGGCAAGTCCCCAGGATGACAAGGTGCGATCGGGGAAAAGCTCCCCTTGGGCCCTCTCGGCAATCTTGCGGGCAGAGATGGTGTCGCGGAGGTGCTCCCGCCAGGCCAGCGTGGTGCAGAGGAGGCACAAGGTCTTTCCCGTGCCAGTGGGGCTCTCCAGGAGGCCGTTTACTTTCTGAGTGGGGTCAGGAACAAGGTCATGGGGAAGCAGGAGAAGGGTACCGCAGAGCACACAGCCCACCGGCCAGGGGACAGTTCTGCTCAGGCAGAGCCCACCCACAGGCGGCAAAGGCCTGAGGAACAGCGGGTAATCTGCCAGTGCTTCCACTCTCAAACCAGAAGCTCTGTGTTAATTCAGCCCTCATTAGCAAACAATTCGCAGAGCATCACTCAGAACTCAACAGTATTTTTCAGCCTAATGTAAATAGTAAGACGTCTAATTAGACGCCAACTCGCCAAACAGAACTTTGTTCCGTAACTTTGGATGCAGGTGTTTTATACTGATGAGAACCTGGTGAGCTACATACATCTCAGATGGGAGCCTGAGCAGCAAACCTGGGGAGACACATAAGCAAATCGGCAAAACTATGCTCCCAGTTCCCAGGAATGGGCGCCAGGCTCCTCCCTGTAGGAGTCTAGTCTGTGCCCACAACAGGAGCCAGGACCCCAGCTGCAGAATCAGCGCTCAGGGGCTGCGAGCTTGAGCAGGGTACAAAAGAACATGCTAAGAAAGTCAGCAGAAAGCTACCTGCCCCCTTCTGCCTTCCTGCACACCCCTGAGATTTAAAGACCTTCCAAAATGATGAGGCACTGACTATCCCTCCATGTGGAAGTACTTCTTCCAGATCCTCAAATGGCTGACTGCTCCCCCACACTTGGCCTCAGCTCAAGCGCCACCTCCTCAGGGAGGCCCTCAAGGTGCTCCCAAGCCTATGATCTAACGACTCTCCTTTGGAGCAGGAACTGTCTTTTTCTACTTGTCTACTGTCTCTCCTAGAACACCGGCCCCATTTAGGACGGAGTCCTGTGTCCAAAAGGAGGCCTGCTACTCAGCAGGGCGCAGCAGGCGTGAACGGAAGGTCGAAGTCCGTTACATCAGAACTTGGTGGAAGCTCTGCCCACGCTGACCCGCTCCCAGGACAGCCGCTGTACCTTCTGCAGACACTCCAGGACCTTGCTCATGTACTCCTCCTGGCATGGGTATGGCTGGAAAGGGAAATCCACTGTCACACCATTCAGAGCTATCTTGGGCATGCTGGCCTCTTCTCGGGCGGGCACAGAGGTTGGCTGGGACGCAGGCTGTGTGAGTGTGTGAGACAAAACGCCCTCGGAACATCTCGGGATCTCAGCCGCTGCAGGTGAGTGTTGCCAGCCGGCGGCGCGGGGACATGCCAGTGTCCTCCACGGGAAGCCCTGCAGCACGGAGACCGGGACAACAAGACCGTCTGCAGCCAGCCTCTCGGGCATACCCCTTCACCCGTCCGGCAGCCCGGCTCGCGCCCCAGGCCCGAAGGCAAGTCTGTGAGACCTACGGTGAGGAGCCGAGGAGGAAGAACGCACACGTGCGCCCTGCCTCGCTCTCTGGCCCCCAGCGGCTCCACCGGGCTCGGGAGAGGCGGCTGCGCTCACACAAGTAACAGGAGCCCGAGCCGCGCACAGCAGCAGTTCGCTGACCTGCACGGGAGCCTGGGAGGCCAGACCCCCGGCCCGGTCACGAGGAGAACGGCGTCGCCGGGACCCCCGCCCCGCCGGGAGACCCCACCCCCTCCGCCCCGC